TTGGAGTTAAAATTAACGTAGATATATGACCGAACCTAACCAACCCTACCTAACCTAACCTAACCTATATTTATAGGTAAGGTTAGGTTAGGTAGCCAAAAAAAGCTAGGTTAGGTTAGGTTAGGTAGGTTAGGTAGACGAAAAAACATTAATTCATGAAAACTTGGCTTATTAGGCAAATCGGGCCTTGAATAGTAGGCTGAGAAGTGCGTTCTGGCTATTAGGTACGACATATATACATACATACATACATACATACATACATACATACGCACGCACATACATACATACATACATACATACATACATACATACATACATACATACATACATACATACATACATACACACACCTGACCTGACACCCCTCCTCACATATGTGGTCAACTAAACTCAAGTAATCCTCTACCACACAGTCGAGGACGTCCTCTGGTCCTCGACTGTCGATGAAACAGTAACATTCATAAACAATGAAAACAAAATGGAAATTAAACCAAAAAACATTTCCAATAACACATTTTCTAAAAGAAATCGTCCAAATCCATAACCCTAAACGAGCAACCATAAACCATCACACGAATGTCGGAAAACAAAAATATTTTGACTCAAAATGAATTGAACCGGAATTAAAATATACATTAATGATAGCATAAAGTCAAAACAGCCTCGGGGAAAGCAAAAACATTCCGTAACCTTGAACACAAAAAGCAAAATTATAGGTATACAAGGTCGTATAGTCCGCCTGCATCTTGAACATTCTCAAGGATCACTATAGCACATAAAGAAAGCTACAAGTAGTGTAAAATGAGACGGCAAGGAAAGCTTCGGAACACCGAACACTATATATATATATGCCAGACAATCTGGGAACATATAACCACTCATCATCAGATTACAACATGAGATTACTACAACAGATTACAACTGATTGTAATTCCACCGGGATGTGGAATTCACTTGTAATGTTAGAAGACTTTAGACTAGAGAGTACTTCAGTATGAAACTCCTACAGCTGGTGGTGGGGGGGGGGGACAAGAACCTGCATCTTCTCGTGGGAAACCCAAGACTCACAAATACGTAATTTGAAGTTAAATATGAAGATTAAAAAAAAGTGCAAAAAAAAAAAATGAATACTATCCGCCCATAATCACGACTTGCAAAGCATGTGTGTTTAAGCGCTCCAAAGCATTCATCTACTGAGTTACTGCAGTCACTATCCGTACTCCTTTCATCTCTTCCCATCCTCATTACCTTGCAGTTGCTGGTATTAAACTCTAGCAACCACTTGTTATCTCCTTTAGACTGTTTTGGTCGTGCAGCAGCCTACACTCCATAGATTTTATCCTTATCACTAGATTTTCATCACTTGCATCCATTGACATCCAGTAAGGGAAGGGATCAATCAGGAGAAAGCGCCAAGCCATTTTGACTTTATAGCACTGGGAAGGGGTCAGGATTAGGATTTTGGGATGGACCACCGGTGGGGGGGGGGAGAGGGAAGGAATGGCTTCTAGTAAGTCATTAACATAGACCACGACCTTCACAGGTTCAAGGACCAATCATCGAGGGACCTCGTTTGCTTTGTTACTTTTCAATTTGTTGACCTAATTTTCCAGTCTGTTAGGTACTCCCTTACTTGTGCTACTTATCCCTGCCTGCTTCTCCACCTTATACACTAGTTATCTATAAGGGATAGTATCAGATGCTCTTTGGTAGTCAAGAAAATGCGGTCCCCGAAACCTGTTCTTAGTGTTCCTGAAGCACAACTCTGTCAAATTGGTCTGACAGGGCTCTGGGGCCAGATTCACGAAAGCACTTACGAACGTGTACATCTTTCCTCAATCTTTGACGGCTTTGGTTACATTTATTAAACAGTTTACAAGCATGAAAACTTCCCCTTCAACTGTTGTTATTGTTATAAACATCCTCCTGGTGCTTCCGAGCTCATTAACTGTTTAATAATTGGAAACAAAGCCGCCAAAGATTGAGAAAAGATGTACAGGTTCGTAAGTGCTTTCGTGAATCTGGCCCCCTGCCTCCTCTAGAGCCCTGTTACACCTCAGTTACTAATATTGCTTCCTTGAGAGGTTCCGTCATTCCCCTCCTCCCCCTACTATGCCTGGGAGTCTATGTTGGGGAAACCTGCAAATCTCTTGTACCATTTTCCATGCACTAAACTCTTACCCTCCTCCCTTTCCCTTACACCCTCAGGCATCCCCTACACCCCTCAGGCTTCCCCTTCAACCTGTCAGGTTCCTTCCCTCTTCAAATACCACCACCACCCCCTACACACTCCCCCTCCCGTCACCTCCCCCCATCTACACGGAATCTACACAGGCTTTGTCGCGAGAAATTGTGGGAGAGATAGAGAGGAGGCGGTGATGGGAGGGCTCTGGTGGTGGATCAGCTGTGACAGCGCCCAGGGGGGGGGGGAGAGGGAGAGAAGGGATAGATGGATAGATGGTGGAGGAAAGAATAGGTGAGAGATGAAGAGGAAGAGAGGGAATAGGGGGTAAGGGAGAGGAAGAGAGATGTGGGCAGTAATAGTGGTGGGAAGATAAGATAGAAAGGGAGGGTGAGCGTATGTATGAGAGGTAAGGGACGGGACGGCGGGAAGGCTAGACGGGAGGGAGCGTGAGGGGTAGCCGGGTGAGATGACAGAGGGGAAAATGGGGGAGAGTGAGGGGAGGGGTGGGGGGGGGGGAGGGCCACCCTGCTGTGGTGGGGTTAAAGAAGCAGGACATTATCAGAGGTGGAGGAGGAGTGGGTAATATTAGTGGATAACGACATGGAGGGGGGGTGGAGGGGCAGGTTGGGGGTAGGGAGATGGAGTAGGGGGAGGGGGGGTGTTGAGAAGGGGGGGGAGTAAGGATAATGTTAGTGATCGGTGAGACGGCCTGGGGAGGGGGGTGGGGGGATAAAAATGGGGAGCAAGGAGATGAATGGAGCTGTTGTAAGGAAAACATAAAAAATGAGGACGGAAAGAAGGAATGAATAACAGACAGGAATGGGGGGGGGAGCAATAAATGGAAGATGAAATGATTGAATGAAAAGGATGAAGGAAGAGGGGAAAGAGATAAGAGAATCTGATTACCCCTTCACCACACGCGGTATGAGAGAGAGAGAGAGAGAGAGAGAGAGAGAGAGAGAGAGAGAGAGAGAGAGAGAGAGAGAGAGAGAGAGAGAGAGAGAGAGTAAGAGTAAGAGTAATCCACACTCGGTATTTCATTCAAGAAAACTTCATTCACTTTCTTAAAACCAACAACGGGTTTACACCCCTATATTAAATCCTCACCAACCTCTTCCCTGAGTGGCAGGTTGATAATTTTAACTGGGACTACACATTTGAAAGGCCAAACCAGAAGAGACAGAGCTCAGCGGCCAACCACAGCGCGCACCCTGGGAGAGGTACATATATAGTCTATCTCCTATCTTTTGGCTAGAAAGGGTGGCTTACCAGCCTCACTGAGCACCCCCTCAACCTATTCACCCCCACCCGACCCCTTCCCCATCCCTTCCCCATCCCTTCCCCACCCTTTCCCCTCCCTTCCCCCTCCCCAACCCTACGGAAATGTGGTGTTCCAAGGAAGCGGAGGAGAAGGAAATAAATGCCCAGAAAAGGGGAAATAAAATAGGGATAGAGAGGAGGTGAAGAGGATATAGAGGGAAGTGTAATGGAAACATTAGGAAGAGGTAGAGGGAAAAGGAGAGAGATGGAGGGAGAGAAGAGAGGGGTGGAAAGGGAGGGGTATGTGAGAGGATTGGTGTTGGGAGAGGACGAGGATTAGTCGTGGTAATGGTTGAGCTTACAGCTGGATCCCATGATGGAGAGCCATGGTGATGGAGCAGGGAGGGAGGCATGGAGGGAGGGAGGCAAGGAGGGAGGGAAGCATGGAGGGAGGGAAGCAAGGAGGGAGAGAGGCAAGGAGGGAGGGAAGCAAGAGGGAAGGAAGGAGGGAAGGAAGGAAGGAAGAAGGAAGAACACAATATGTAAAACTAAGGGAAGAACGAATTTTAATACTTGTTTAGACAGGTGACCTCCAAGTGTGAGTGTGAGTGTGTACTCACCTATTTGACAGGTGTGGTTTTTATGGTTTAACACGTGTGATAATTATGGCTTGACACGTGTGGTGGTTATGGCTTGACAGGTGTGATATAGTTATGGCTTGACAAGTATGATATAGTTATGGCTTGACAGGTGTGATGTAGATTTAACTCCGGGCCTGACGACTGAGTGGACACTACTCGCTGTTCGTAGTCCTAAGGGTCCGGGTTCGATCCCCGGTGGAGGCGGAAACAAATGGGCCGAGTTTCTTTCACCCCTGATACCCCCCTATCAACCTAGCAGTAAATAGGTACCTGGGAGTTAGACAGCTGCTACGGGCTGCTTCCTGGGAATATATATGTGTGTGCATATAAGGATTAATATTCCCTGCCTTGCCCGGAACGCTACGCGTTTTAGTGGATATATATAAATTGTAAGAACTCTTGAATATATAAATAAATATATAAATAAATTGATAGGTGGGAGACTGAGTTTGCACTTGTTCGTTTGTTTGGTGATTGTTACGAACATTTTCAACAAGAGCGACGAGGAGAAGTTAAAAATACCAAAATGTGAATTGTGTGAAACATAAATTTATTATATTATCATCATTGACCAATAGGTGATAAGTCAGGAATAGGGATAAGTAACGATTGTACATGTCGACCAATAGGAGAGCAGCCACGTGGCGGAATTAAGAATGATGTTAGTTATCGACCAATTAGAGAGCAGATACGCAGCGGGATCAAGAATGAAGCTAGATTTCGACCAATAGGAAAGCAGCCACGAGGTGGTATCAAGAATGTTCCTAGTTATCGACCAATGGGAGATGGGTTTGGATCAAGAATGATGCTAGTTATCGACCAATAGGAGAAGCAACAGTAGGCGGGATAAGGAAGGATGCTAGTTATCGACCAATAGGAGAGGCGGTAGGAGGCGTGGGACTGCGTAGGAGATGTTCCAGCAGCCAATGAGAGGTGTGGGCGGGGCCACAGAGTCCTCCTTCAGGCAGGTGAGACTAAAACAGTGTGTTATGGGAGACACAAGACGGTCGCTTCATGCCAACATGCGTCTCCTGCGTCTCATGCTTCTCCTGCATCTCCTGCGTCTCCTGCGTCTCCTTAGACGCGGGTTGTCGACGTTTGTGTTGTAAATATATTAATTAAATCTCATGTCAACAAAATGATAAATGAAAATCATATTAAAGCAAATGATTCAGTTATTTGTTTATGAAGAGGATTAAGAAAAGGTACCGTGAGATCTTCCCACCCGTGATCATACAGACGGCCTGGCGGCCGAGGGGAGAGCGCTCGGGTATCGTAGTCCTAAGCGCCCGGGCTCGATTCTCGGCCGAGGCAGCAACAAATAGAGTGGTGTTTCTTTAATCTGATGCACCTTGTAGTTAGCTGCTACAGGTATTATGTATGTATTATGTGCGTGTATTAGAGAGAAATATATGTAGTAGACAAGGTGGAGGAAAAGAGGTCGAGAGTCAGTATTTAGACAATCAACGGCTAGAAAGGCGGGGTCCAAGAGCTAACTGCTCGATCCTGCAGGCACAAATAGTAAATACAAACACGCAGATGTACGGTTCTCCAATGAACAACCCGCCAAACATACACCGAAACTACGACGTTGGTACAACGTTCGAACAAGTTTTAACACTTCCTAACCAGTTATAACAACCAATATAGCAAGTTGTAACAACGTTCTAATACGTCATAAACATGTTAAGCCAAGATGTAACAACTTTATTATAAGTTGTAACTAGCAGAAAATAGAGACGGTTTCGGTTTGTGTTTCCAGGGAAGGGAGTACCTAAGCCACAGAAGACAGGGAGTCATTGTGAAGGGTGAAATCTTAAGAGGCGAGACGTCACTAGCGGAGTCCCACAGGGTTCAGTTCTTGGACCTATCCTGTGTCTCATACAAGTAAACAATCTTCTAGAGGGAATTGACTCATTCTTCTCAATGTTTGCTGATGATACAAAACTCATGCTGAGGGTTAAGACAGAGGAAGACAGCAAGACGGAACAATATGACTTGGACAAACTGAAAGAATTGTCCAACAAATGGCTATTAGAGTTTTATTCAAGTAAATGTACAATAATGAAGCTAGATGGAAGAGGCAGGAGGCCAAACACGGTAGAAAATGAGAGACGAAATCCTCAAAAAAAAACAAAAAAAAAAAACAGAGAGGAGGGATCTATAGGAGTCTATATCACACCGAACCTGTCTCCTGAAGCCCACATAAAGAGGATATCATCATCGGCGCATGTAAGGCTTGGTAGCATCACAACTGCCTTTAGATATTTGTGTAAGGAATCATTTAGAACCTTGTATACCACATATGTCAGACCAGTCCTGCATTATGCAGCTCCAGCGTGGAGTCCATACCAATTCCAGCACAAGACGAAGCATGAGAAGGTGCCGAGGATAGGGAGGAGGATCTAAGAGGCTCCACCAGAGTAGTTCCAAAATTTTAAGGTATGGCACGCGGCAAGATTGTGGAATTGAACCTATCATCGCTGGAAGACGGAGAGAGTTAATGGAGACACGATTACCAAGATTCAAAAGTCTCATGGGAATTGAATTAGCACAGAAAAGGTGCGGTGGAGTTAGCCCGGGTGGTACACGCACAAGGGGACGCAGATGGAAGCTGAGCACCCAAATGAGCCACAGAGATAATAACAAGAATTGTTTCAGTGTCAGAGCAGTTAATAAATGGAATACATTAGGCAGTGATGTGGTGGAGGCTGACTCCATACACAGTTTCAAATGTAGATATGATAGAGCCCAGTAGGCTCAGGAACCTTTACACCAGTTGATTGACAGTTGAGAGGCGGGACCAAAGAGCCAGAGCTCAACCCCGCAAGCACAATTAGGTGAGTACACACACACACACACACACACACACACACACACACACACACACACACACACACACACACACACACACACACATGATAGGGAAACAGGACAGGAGTCATTGCTGTAAACAACCGATGCTCGAAAGGCGGGATCCAAGAGTCAATGCTCGATCCTGCAGACACAACTAGGTGAGTACAACTAGGTGAGTACACACACACACACACACATCCCTTCCCCCACCTCCTCACCGTTCCATTTCCCTTCATCCCTTCAAGCCAGCCAACACCTCCATCTGTCATCCGTCACCTCACCCGTCACCTCACCCCTCACCTCACTCCTCACCTCACCCCTCACCTCGCCCCTCACTGTTATGCCCGGATAATGAGAGCTGAGAGAACTTTTCTGATAAAAATGAAAAGCACAACACATCAACCACGATGAAGAATTGAAGACAGAGATGGAAAGGAACAGGGGGAGGTGGGAGGGGGAGAGGTGATGGAAAGGAATGGAGGATAGAAAGAGAGGGAAGCAGGAAGGAAAGGGAGAGGAGGATGATGATGGATGGTGAAGCCGAATAGGTTAGTTAAAGGAAGCGAGAGAGCCTTTCTGGTCTTAATGCTCATCTGACTTAAATGGAGAGATGAAGACTGGATTCAGAGAGGGAGAGAGACGAGAAGAGAAAGAGGGTAGGAAGTACGTGGGGAATGAGAGAAGAGGAAGGGAACCTGTCGTGGGAAAGTGGCGGGGATGATAAAGAAGGAATGGGCAAGAGAAAGAGAGGGAGGGGGGAGGGTTACATATCAGTTGTTACATAAAAGGGAAGGGAATGTAAATCAAATCTATTAAGGACGGAGTCAAAGTGTTTTTTTCCCAGTGAAGTTTGAGATAATTTTTTGGTGTTGGGGCTGAGGTGGGATGGGATGGGAGGAGGAGGAGGAGACGGGAGAGGAAAGTAGGAGGGATAGAGAGAATTTGGTAAAGGGGGGAAGGAGAGAAAATGGGGGAGAGAGGGAGTGAGACTAATAAGTAGTATTGAAATAAATGGGAAATGCGATTCAATTAAGATAATTTAAACAATTTAATCCGTTTCCTCTTGTTTAAGTCCTAATTAAGATTCTCCTTATTTTTCTCACTTGTCCCTTTCATTTTGCATTTTCCCCTGTTCCTTTCGCCATTTTCCCCTTTCTCTGGCGTTCCTCTAATACGTCCCCTTTTTTTTCCGACTGCCTCCTTCCCTTTTCAGTCCCTACTTGCTGACCCCTAATGTTAAAAGCGCAAACTCTCCCTTCACACCCCTTTCTTTACTGAATAAAGGGCTGTTTTCTCACCCACTCGGATCCTCTTAACCTCCCCCATACCCCCTGAAAGGGTTGTCATTCCCCTTAACAAGCATACAGCTCCCCCTTGGAACACTCCCTTAACAAGTGTTCCTTTAACTACCCCCCCCCTAACCAACCAAAGTATCTGTGCTCCTCTCCACCCTCTCTTTATCCTTAGGAAACCCTCTTTTTATCTACAACTGGGCTATTTCACCCTCTTCACCCTTCGTGACCGTCTCTCATGTCCAAAGCCAAGTCTATTACCTCCTTCTCTCGCCCCTCTCTGCCCTCATCATCTTACCCTTTTAAGAATTATCTACCAACAAGCATCACTTGTTCATTAAAAACACTCCACCATCCCCCCAGAGAGAGAGAGAGAGAGAGAGAGAGAGAGAGAGAGAGAGAGAGAGAGAGAGAGAGAGAGAGAGAGAGAGAGAGAGAGAGAGAGAGAAAGAGACTAACACGCCTCTCTAAGGCCGACACTGATGTACGCAGCTTCCTAATTACATACAATAGTTGTACATTATTTATATACAACAGTTGTTAATTGGTATCGTTTGTGATACAATACCTGTAGACTGATATTAATATGTGTGTAGTTATCGATAGTCTGGGCAAAGGTCGTTTGTAAAATATATTTTTATATAATTACAGTACTGATTATAACAATACAGCACATCGTAATTATACATTGCCATCGTAATTATACATTAAAGAGCGTTAATTGTAAATCTGTATAAAAGAGAATGTCTGACTTCTCAAGGTTGGAGGCCAGACGATCGTGGTTAGACCCACGCAATTTTTCATGGTGAATTGTGATTGTATGGTGAGTGTGACTGGGGGTCGTCCCCCTATGCTCCGCTTTAAATAGGATTGGCTCCTATGCGACAACCAGCGACTTTCCTGAAGTCTGAAATGTGAGATTAATTGTCCATAGTGTGTTTACGAACATATTTTTTCGACTATTATCAACGTTGATTCAATGTTACTCGAGCAAGTTTTGCCACTGAGTGAATGGAAGGGTTAAAGGAAGAGAGAACAGTAGAAAGGGAGGGAGAATGGGAGGGAAAAATAGGAGAGACGTAGGGAGAGAAACCTTTCTGTGACGGGAGTCACACATTTGCCCTCGCATATTATTTTGTATCTCGTGACACTAAAGTGATTTAAGAGAGGAAGTAACGATCAGTGACAGTATGACGTGTAGCACATTGGTTGGAAAATAACAAATACTGTGATTATCATTGATCATTGTCTTAAATAATCAAGTCTCAGACCACGTGGGGTACGACAAGGGACATGAAACATTGCCATAGTCATCAGATATGGGACGATATGACAATATTAGATATGGTGGTGTATGGAGCAACCATTGGAAACGTTGAGACACCCCGACTCTCGATAAACAATACGGACTTAAACAATCGAGATTGTGGTCACTGGAACCATGGAGACCCCCTTAAGCAAACAATATGTATCACCTGTTACATATATGAAATTCGGTTTCGCGTTTCATGAGCGAGTGTAAATACAATTAGAGGTCTGCGAGAAGGTCATTTTTGTCCTGGGGGGGGGGGTGTAACAATGATATATATGCGAGTTTGGAACATATTTATGAAAACTCCTGGATAACGTATCTGTTGACGATATCTGTTGATATCTTGGATATCTCCTGTTGACGAAGATGAAACTACACAAGAAATACCAGTTGAGGAAGAGGGGAATACTCTGAAGCAGTACAGACAGGTACAGACGAAGCCCAACACAGCAGGTTAATGTTGACCAGACCACACACACTAGAAGGTGAAGACGACGTTTCTTGAGAA